ATAAATGAGAATATTTTAACTGAAAGAGGAAAAAATTACACTCTTGTCTATTCTAAAAATGCGGAATTTATACATATAATCATCATTCCGATTGGAATGACGCGCTAAAAAAGATTAACAGGCCAGCGGAAATTGTGCCGTAAAATATGGCGCTGTTTTAAATGCGCCCACATTGCAAAGAAATGTACCAAATCCATCCACTTCATCCAATATCAATGAATTTTCTCTTAGCTGTTATTTGGAACATGTGTAGTGTGATCGGATGAAAACATATTTTCTACACAAAATGGGCATCTTGAATTTGAATTTCGAACATTCGTCTTTAAGAAATGAATACGATCCGTCTTTAGAATAGGTTAATTGTTCATAAATGTCCGTATCTTTAAACCCTAATACTATTTACAAAGTGTCTTATCGTAGATTGATATTTCAATTTCATAATATGATATTTGGCGTACACATTATTCAATACGCCTTTACGAGACTTATGTCATTTCGATCGTTTTATTTGGAATTTCAATGGGCGAATTTCATGTTCAAGCTTGATGTCAACTGAAGTACATCCGTGAACTATTTAAGTCGTCAACTTGGATTTTGGGCTAAAATGACGCCATTTAAGAGTTTTCATTTTAGTAAAAACTGTAACAATTTTTCATGTTCAATTGAATCATTCTTGTTTTTTGTTTGCCTAAAATTCGATACATTGCTCACGCTGTGGTCGTCTTATATATATTTTGCATTAAATATTGATCCTTAAAATTAATTCCAGATTTCTATGAAGAAAATGCATGATTAAAGAAATAATTACGTCACACGTAATTTTTGTCTCAATATTAGCCCCGTTTTAGCAGTTTTCGTATTTTTAAACTGAAAAATGAATACTTAATCGTTATCGGATCAGATAAATATTTCGTATACATGAAATTAAATACCTTTCGCGAATAATGGGTGATACATATTTTTATATAACAATATTTATTTGGTGTGCGAAATGCCTAAACTTTAGAGATAGAAACTACAGATAGATCCGTGATTTGTGTCGTCAAACACGTTATTTGTGTAAAAAATGAGCCGTTTTAAGTTTGAGGTTTAGTAAAAACTGTAACGATCGTTGGATTTTAAGTGAATCTAAATAATTTTTTCACGAGCATGATTTTCGATACATTATCCAACTTTTGTACGATCTAAAATGAATCATAAAAATAAATTATTCTATGAATTAATCAGACAAAGTCGAAGTTCAAAAAAGTTAAAAGTAGCCCATTTTCCAACGCATTTTATACCCATTTCCCGTGGTCTTGGGCAGTTGAAAAATACACCATTAGATAGAGGAGGTACTAATCATTATAGGCATACTATTTTTATTTTATTAAAGTAACATCTTGATTGCTAAACAACTCGTTAAAGACCATGCCCAATCGGGCGTAAACAAGTAGTTCGAAAATGCCGAAATTATTACTACGCACTTTTTTTTAAAAACCGGTAAACAACAATGGGTTTATAACGTCGGCCGACAGACTGTAAAGGCTTTGGTCTAATTGATCTAAGTTACGAAAAGTACAGGTACATGTTTTTGCAAAACACCTTTCAAGCTTTTTTCTTAATTCTTTTAGATTCATTCGAAATTATGTTTATACTCGTATTTAGTACCAGCTTGTATCGGGGCAGAACATTTTATTTTTTATGTTGCTAACGGTTTAGATTTATGTCTATAAGTTTTAATACGAACGCTATAAAAACTTAAAAAGTGCTTATAAAGATGCGTGTTCACTCATCCTATGGAGGCCATGCATAAAGTATTACAGAAAAATTAGTTAAAAGCTGATAGTTAAGAAATAAATATCACGACAAGACATTTATATGAAAAGAATACGTTTTTGAAAGGATGAGGTCATTACCGATTTTATTTGTAACATTTTTATTGACTTAATAATAAATTCTATAATTCACTCAAAAGGTGTAAACACATGCGATTGTGATCGAAAAAAGGGCATTTTGGACGCTTTGTGAATACTCTAAATTGACTTTAAGTTAGAACTATGTAGAAGGCATGACAATAACTATTGTTTGATAAAAACGTGCAGATGCTCGGTTGGCAGTTGCGTGAGACTCTGCGTGTAGATATGCTGACACCCGAAGTCTCTATATGGTTCAAAAAACACATTTAGCAAAACTTAACACAACTTATAATCATATTTTAGATTTTGATGCTGTCTTACATAAAATGATGTCTAACGTTCTCTGGAGCCCAGGCACTTTAATTTCAACTTTTAAAGTTATATTTTGGAAATAATGCTGAATTTATCTTTAAAAACTGAGACAAGAAGTGTCTATGAAGACAGGTGTAGACATTTAGTTGGTCTTAATTGATTTACTTGTATAGAGTGTTTTTGTCATTTTTTGTCATACTCAACCAGGGTCAGTAAAGCCCAATATTCACCAATGGGGAAAAATCCCACTTGCCCCATCGAATCCCACTTTGTCCCATCGAATCCCAACTTGCCCCATCGAATCCTATGGAGCTCGATGGGGCTTCATAGATCTTTATCCCATCTTGCAAGATCGAGTCCCAAGTCATGGGACTCGATGGGGCAAAATCTGATCCCACGGAGTCTATCGCAAAATCCCATGAAGTCCCACGAGGTCCCACAAAATGTTAAGTCTATGGAGGTCCCATCGTGCCCCATTTGTGTATGTTGGGCTTAAGAACCATATAGTAGGGGACCAAATTTCCTTCACAACGAGACAAGTTAGGTCATACTTATTCTTGAATTCGAGTGTGCTCTAGCCATTTTGTGATTATTTGTGTCAAACAAACACTTTTTCAATATACTCTCTCATATTTTATTTAAACAACCACATCTTTGTCGAGCCGAACGAAACATTTCGTGGGAGTCAGGTGTTGAATGAAACTGTGTTGTATGTAAAAATAAAATGAAATTTGAAAATCAGTATAAACTTCTTAAGTGGATCAAGTTGCCCACGACGACGGTATAGAGAGCTTTTGATACAAATGTAAGTTTTTGAGACAACGAACGATTATATTAGGGCACGGTGGCCCCTGGAGGCGCAACAATAAATACATACAAATATACACAACTATTAAATTGATTCATTCATTTAATTCACCTGATTTTTATTAATTCTAAATAACTTTCATTTTGTATATGTTTCTATTTATTGTTTAGCTCCATTGCACTCTTACAGACTCAGTACACGTAGGTTAGGATACAAGTCGTGGGTTTCACTTTCTATAGAACTTGTTAAGAAACCTTTCTATTCAAGACTTTTTAAGTCCATGTGAAAACGTTGCAAATTATATAGCACAAATCCCTAATGAGACACTGATAAAGAAAATATTTTGAAGATAATCTGGCGGAGTAAACAACGACAACACGTAAAATACCAATCATGTGTTGATCATACACACAGAACTGCCAAATTCAATGTCAGACTCGCAAAATGTGCGTGATATACTATACAATGTACCTAGTCATTATAATATTGTAAGAGGAAGGGTGGAATTTGTCCGTTTTTTATACGTCAGATTATATATTGGGATTTTGGAGTTTTTCCTTTGATGGGTTGAACTTTTTGAATGTCCCCGTTTCAATTGTTTCTTAAACCTTTTGGTCGTTACCATTTCGGTGCTTGTGCTCACATATCTAACCAGGATCTGCCAATTTCAATGTCAGACACCACAGACTGTGCATGATATACAATGTACCTACTAATTATAATACACAGAGAATATGTTCACATAATGGATATATAATGGAGTTGTGAAAGTATATTGCCGGGAGATACCGACATTTGGTACTTTGCCCACATTACAGCCAACCTCGTTGACATTGAAGTGTATGGTATTTTTGGTGTTTGTGATTGTAAATGCTCCCCTAATTGCTTTTCAAAAAGTACACGAAAGATGTTTAAAGCGTCAACATATGCAATTTACTACTCATAATTTTTCTCAAAACTTTGGTGGATATGTCTGAATCGTTTGTTTTATAATTTGCTGCATCAATAGAAACTTATAAAACATTCTAATTCTGTTGTATCGTTAAGTATGGTACACGTTGCCCTGAGAACTATTCATATTTAGGAAAAACATTCAAAACAGCTTAAAAAGATTGAAAATAGAGATAAGACGAGTGATGAAGTTAAATTATAGGTATAACCTTATCATTTAGTCCCATTTTGGTATCTTTTGAATGATATTTTATAGCCAATAACCAATCTAAGAAAGAAAACATTGTATGTTATAGTCAAGTCTCAAGATCGATTCATTGATATTATTGTTCAAAACTTCACGAGGGAGGTCTGAAATCAGCATGAGTTCCACTAAACATGAAGTAAATTGAATTGGTGAAAGAATTCAATTTTTTTAAATAGCTTGATACAAAAAAACAATCACGGACTGTGTAAGGGTCTTTGATCTTAAACATTCAATGTATGTACTTTCCCTTTGTGTTTTTATAAACTGTGGACATCTTGACTCGTGTAAGGTATTTCATTTTCCAGCAATTACAAAAGAAGGGAATCTGATGACTGCCAGGTATTTATGTGAATGGCCAAAAGACTGAAAAGCATCTGGTTTTTATGTAACTACATGTTTTATACTGTTATGTATTAGAGGGTTGTTATGATGTCATACAATGATGTCAGCTTATGATGTCACATTTCAGGTTAAAACATGATTAATAAACATTTTGTGATAAACCTCCGTATTCACAAGTCGAAGAACAAGCCACCCTAGATCGTTTACAACTTCAATACAGGACACTATTTAATTTTACACATATGCACAACCACTCGGCCGTCGGCTACCTGATTAACCGACTATTTCATTGGCAACTCATTTAAATATGAATAGTACCTGCCACTATTCCATTCATATTTAAATGAATTGGTCATAAAATAGTTCGTTAATCCGAGAGCCGCAAGCCGCTATTTACAGCGCGAATACAAGCTAGATTAGGAACACATATAATGATACATACCTATAAACTCATTTCTGATACGTATCCTCTCTTCGATATTGTCAGTGGATATGATAATACAGTTAATTAACGCCACCAATGTTGACTTGTAAGCTGTTACTTTAGCTTGGTTAAGTTCATCTGAAATCAGGCTGAACCGATACCTTGTCTTTTTGGTCTCCTGGAAAAATAACGCACAATGGTCAACATTTAAAAACACTCTAAATAACACAAATCCCCCTAAAAACAAATAAGAGTAGATCTTGTGGTGATCAAATTTGTTTTGATATAGTTAATTAATATTTTATATTTCTGTAAGTTGGATTTCCATGGCAACCCCAGCACCAAGTGATGTCCAACGGAGGGTACTGTCACGTGACTTCGGGTTTATTTCAAACATGACTAGAAAGTACGAAATAATGTATAAATTGTATCACTGACTAAGCTGCACGTTCAAACTTAGTATAATACATAAAAAATCTTTAAAGTGCGTATATATAATATACAGGTCATTCCAAGCATACGTATTCAAGGTAATGGACAATGCACCAGTCATTTTAGCCAAGATCCAATAACCGGTATTATCTGCTTATCTCTACTTACATCAAGATTATACCCTCTTAAATTATTGTGAGCAAACATTCTATCAATCAAAAGTCACAAAAATCAACATTTTCTTTCTCTATCTTTTAAAAGAGATGAATAATATATATCGCATTTCATGACATACACCAATATAACCTACTTGTCGACGCAAACATATGTAAACTTCAAACTTGTCATGGACGTTATGTTTAAATCAATTTGTTTTTTTTTTAATTTTGAAAAATCGGAATATTTCTCACGGTAAATTAGAATACTAAATGTACGAGTTCACCATTTTTCGTTTAACAATTAATTAAACTTTTTTCTCGAATCTGATACAAATATGGGTTCGATTTTGTCATAATTGGATCTTGATATATCGAAGTCCAACAAACAGTCAACTCCATCCAAAATCAGGTACGTGCGTATATCTCTGTTAAAAAGCGATAAGGTGCATTTGATTGGCCCAATTTGGTCACGTGATTATGCTAGGAACACTGGGAGCTGTCCTTATTTTGCAAATGAAATTAAGATCTTATCTGAATGCATCTTTGAGATAATTGTATACTGTGTGATGACATATGTTGTCAAAACAGATAGCGATCTCACTTATTTTTGAGATTAATTTGATCTTATCTTACATTAAGGTTAATACACTAACAACCATTCTGGATACTCAATAAAAACTATCCTAATTACAATATGTCATGATGTGAAGCGAATTTCGTCATCTAATATATCATATGTAGAGTTGGAACATAAATGTTATGATTTGTCCGTTCGGTTAATTGGTGTATAACGAGAGAGTAAGATAGGCAGAGATTACTTTACAACAAAAAGTGTACGTTGTCAACTGATTCGTGAATACACCGTTTGATTAGCTTAAACATAAACACGGTCGTTCAAAAACTCAGGCTTCAAAACATAGCATTGCAAAAAATATATCAAAAAGTTCTAAAAAATGATAACTCAAATACAGAAATTAAGCACGTTGAGGTAATCCCCTTTGGTCAATGTTTATGGCACGTCCTGGTTTTAAATCCAAAAACAAAATATGAAATGTAATTCGAAGGTACCCACTCAGGAAACATTACATGGTTTACACAAATCTCGTATAAATCTTAGAAAAGCGTTTGATCCAGAAGCTAAATAACTACAAGTATTGTTTCAAGATATTTAATTATATGTTTAACTTTATGTTTGACAAATGTAAATCGTGAGCCTTATGTACACTAAATAATTCTCCGATGTTTTGGTATCCTATTATAAGAAACATAACATGATTACTCGGTAACCTAACTAAGCCTCTATGACGTATATAAAACTACCGTTTTGTTCCCTTTTGAAGTGTAACATCAAAATTGGCAATCATTTTAACCTAACGCCCATAATATTGGAGTACTGATCTGTCATATGTTGATGAGAACACTTGAAATCAACTTGATATCAATTAAAAAGTTTAAGTATATAATGAAATCAAGAGTGTCATTCAGCAGGATCAAACAGGGATGCGTCGTATGTCCCTTTATATTTAATTAGTGTAGGCAATCGACACACTTTGAAACTAAAACAGAATTCGAAGAAATTATGTTTGAACTCATATATTTTAATTTTATCATGTCCAAATAGTCTTGAGTATACTTGCAAATATTTAACAGGAAGAAGCTGCGGCTTAAAATAACACAAAGCATGAAGATTAAAAGTAATCAAAATTCAAAAGGACCAGAAATACACAAACGGGAAGCAGCTAACATATTTTATATAATCTATGTATCACACTATGCTAAATAGTTTTTTTAAGTTTAACAAAGATTAAGAACTAGGAAAAGTCCTTTCTATCTTGTATCAAATATTTAGATGACAAGAGGAAATCAAAATGATTTTCAACATATACTCAACATATATTTAACATGTTAATTAAAATAAGTGTTTTGAGATAATCTTGAGTTCCTCATTCCCCTTTTAACTTATCACGAGATATCTATTGACCATCATTGATGATCGTGTGAATGAGTGTATTGACGATCCTTTAGCCGGAATAACCATTTAAAACATATTTTCTCCATAAACTAGTTATTAAGTTGACCTCAATATCCCACATGTAAATATGTATAATCCTTAAATTATGACTTGAGGAAGTGTAAAACAATAGATCTAAACATAAACTTGTGACGAGGTGAAGTTCAATGATTCTGTATCTAGGGATATATGATGGTTTATTGACCTGTTTATTTGAAAAGTTGTCATTTTATTTCATTGCTGTTGGTTCACTGTCAATGAATTTGAACTTACTGTTTTAAGTATGGTTTATCGTGATATGATTGATCGTAAAATGACTTAAGTGGAAAGAGAGATAGATGGTCGTGAAAATAGAACACACGATGAATTATTCAGAATTGTCGATATTTAAAATTTGACTGACAATATAGGATTCAATTTGCAATTCACTCATAGCTGGTATTTGGGCTGAAAGCTAGCCCTAAACTTCGACCATACGTCTTGGTTTAAGGAAGAAACAATCCACTTGTCATGTATTGTATATAAACAAAGCATATATTGAGTCGGACTCCTCAAACAAATTGCTCATGTAAACGTATATGTGAAAATATCAAAGAACACAAGGACATCAACGAGAAATGCACAAATCAATCATCCTACATCACACCTATGTAACAAAGATACTATATCCTACAGTAAATCTGTTAATCAAGATTCATTTCTCTCCAAGTCATGGCATTATTGAAACTGCGAACGAAAATGTTGCCTGTCAATGGGCAGGTAGAAGAAACATGGCTGACCATGATTACGATAGTGATGTTTATATATAAGTTGATGTCCTGAAGGGTAAACTATACTAACAAGTCAAAGATAAGAGCCATACTGGGTGGTAGTGCGTAAAATTAACATCATGCTAATTAAGCAAAGTTATGCACAAATATGCAACAGGGTCATGCTGCAAACTTTCATTTATGGTTTATATTTAGTCATATTTTCAAATGTTCGCCATGCTAAGGTATCTTACATCATAAAGAGGCGTTTTATAACATGATGATTGGTAACTTGTTGACTTGTTTCATAACACTATGCATGATGAAAAAACGTTCTTCCAGTGGGTCTACCTTAATCAAAACCAACAAGTGGCCACACTTGAGGAAGACAAACGTACAAGAAAATCTGACCAACCACAATAATTCAAAGAACAGCAACTATATTTTCATTTAGATCTTCAAGTGAAGAGAAAGTTTCATTAAAAAATTAATTTTCCACTAATAAACAAGACTCAATGAATGAATAAGAGCTTGATAAGGAAAAGTGGAGGTTTCCAATCCATGTTAATGCTAGTCGAACTGAAAAGAGACCAGATACCCATTGATGACAGAACACAGAATGTAAGGTATGAATTCGAAGATGTTAGTAAAGATACGTTTCAAGTACTTTTCCAGAACTTATTTGGTACGTCATGGACAAATCTATGGTGAATGAAAAATGCGTAAAAGCTCATCATCCAATTTATTATCAGGAGCATTGTACACATTTTGGGCTAGGAATGAGGTACAAACAAGACATAATGCAAGGTTGTTTTACATTATATGTTACCTTTGATCAATTTTCTAGTGGTATAATTAGCCCAGTTTACAATTGTCAAAGCATTTGACCTCAATTGACTGACTCCTCCGAACATTTCAATTGAAGATCTTAAAAAACAACAAACCTTACACAAGAACACCCAGTACCATATGTTTATGATCAAACTATTTATTTGAGTACACATATGTACACAACCAACATTTCAAGATATACCGTACCTTGAAGCAGAGCAAAGGTTATCATATTGAAACACTGCACCACATTGGCATGTTGATGAAATAAGAGTAGAAAGAGACAACATAAGTTAGAGCATCAAATATGTTTTGATCCGTTGGTGTTCCAAAAGACAATAAGGAGTACCCAAAAGTATATGGATCGTCTATGGAAGTCCAACTGTTCTGGGCTACTCAAGTCTTAGTACTCTTGCCCATCTTTTCTGACAACCAAAGTGTTCCGAGTTCAGTCATTTTATTAGAACTCACTTCACATGGGAGGGTGGCCAAACATATAATAAAATATCATTCCGTGGAAAAAAGCCCTAAAATATTGGTTTTCTGGAACTCTGGACCCTATATTGTAAATGTGGGCTCACTTTTCGAAAGTGAGGTCCATTTTGAGGCTTTTTGTCTAACAGTTAGGTATTTTTCTGAAACTGAAAATTAACCTGAATATTGATATATTCTATTTTAATATTCTGTTGCTCCTGAGTTTTCCATGGTGCAAAATCACACCCGGGGATCTGCTATCCCCCAACAAGTACCCTGCTATAAATGGATGGCCTTTTGTGCACGAGGCACCGATATAAATATATCAATACAATTGTTTTAGTTAACTTTATTCCAGCAATCATATCTTGAAAAAAAACATAAAATTGAATGGTAAGTTGAAAATCAGCCTAGCTGGTGTAATTACTCAGATGCGAGTAGGTAGTTACAAGTTTCGCCACCAGGTGGCTGACTCGGGGGATTTAACATGGCAGGGTATTACAAAATTCCCTTAAACTTGAAT